ACAAGTATTTCATGTGGGACGGTGTCAAACACCTTGCACAAGTCCAGGTAGATGACATCAGTTGCTTTAGCCTTATCTACCGATGTTGTAACCCCATCATAAAAAGCCACCAGGTTGGTCAGGCATGGCTTGCCCTTGATGAAGCCATGTTGGTTGTCATCAGTCATCTTCTCATTCTCCATGTGCCTTAGCATAGTTTCTAGGAGTATCTGCTCCATGATCTTGCCTGGCACTGAGGTGAGACTGACCAGCCTGTAGTTCCCCGGGTCTTCCTTGTTACCCTTTTTAAAAATGGGGGTTATGTTCCCCTTTTTCCAGTCTGTGGGAACTTCACCAGACTGCCAGGACTTCTCAAATTTGATGGCTAGTGGTTTTGCAACTTCATCTGCCAGTTCTCTCAGGACTTGAGGATGCATCCCATCAGATCCCATGGACTTGTGCACCTTCAGGTTCCTTAGGTGCTCCCGAACCTGGTCTTCTCCTACAGTGGGTGGCTTTTCATTCTCCTGGGGCCTTCCTTTGCTTTCTAGGACTTGGGCAGTGTGGCATGAGCCCTTGCCCGTGAAGACTGAGGCAAAACAGTCCTTGAACACCCCAGGCTTCTCAATGTCCCAGGTAACCAGATCTCCCATTACCTTCTGGAGAGGGCCTATATTTTCCCTAGTTTTCCTTTTCTCCCCAACATACCTATAAAAGCTTTTTTATCTAGCTTGGACTAGATATCTGGTTTCTAGACAGACAGGTAATGTAGCCATTTATTGAATTTAGCAAAAAATAGTATAAAGGGTGATATAAGTTAGAACGATATTTTCTTTCCTAAATTGAGATTAAACTACTTCATCTACTGCCAGGGTATACTCCCAAATACATCCATATTGGTGAACTGTATTAATGAAAAATAAATGAGACTTGGTGAGAAGTAGCTTATTTTCAGATTTGTTCAAGTCACTGGTATCTGATGAAGACTGGCCAAGTAAACCAAATAAGTGTAATTATCTACCTCCTCTCCATCATTTTCTTGAACTCCACTCTCATTAGGTAACCCCTGCACATGGCTTGTGTGCGGGTGATGAGCTGTGCCAGCTTCTCATCCCTCATCTCCTCCAGGAGCCCCAGCAGCCCAGCTTTGAAGAACACCTTGAGAAAGAGAATGTTGCAGTACATAATTGTCAGGTATTGCAAGCACAGTACATCAGTCAAAGAGGGTTTGTACCTTGGTGTGACCAAATTTGTACTGGGTGTGGTCCACATCGATGGATCCAAGGAGTTTCTCAGAAGCCTTCTTGCTGTCAATGAACTGTCCCTCTGGGATGGCACTTGCATTAAGCACCTTGTACCTACGGAAGGAAACAGACTATGAATAAGGTTAGATTCCTGAAAGCTCAATCAAACCTGTACAAACTGATGCCATTGTTAAGATTCTTTGAAGGAGGATCAAGAGGAGAGGTGAATAAGTCTGAACTCTGTTCCATTGTTTAGGAATCACATTTTCAAGGGTAAGTATGTTTTTAGGAAAAACCATGCACTTTCCTTAGTCCAGAAATTCTTGACACAAATGGGTACTGATTTCCATGAGTAACTGCTGACATATTTCACATGCCCTTTTATCTAATACCTTCTCTTCAAATAAGAAATTTATGTGCAAGTACAAAATATGTGGTGAGGAGAAGCAATCCTTCTTTCAAAATAGTGGCAGTATATATTATCTGAGTATTTTCCGACTGATATAGAACAAGAAGCAAGACCTTTTTATTTTATTTGGTTGTCCAACAAGTTAGTCTAGAATAGCTTTTGGTTTCTTTATTCACTTTTCTGTGCTGATGACTGCAAGTCATTTTACTTTGCTACACAATAGTTAACTAAGCCTAGGCTGGTCAAATTAATTTCTGGATAGTTAATTTAAAAATGCTTTATCTCATACCAGAATATGAATCAAGGACAGGAATAAATAATTGATCTTTGAAAAAGCCTGTTTATCTAGTTAGCTATAGAAAGAAACTGGATTACTAACTTGGAAAATTAACTTTTGTATGCCTAAAAGTGAGTACAGTGAACCCCTCCTGTAACTCCCACAGTAGTTAAAACAATATGGAAATGCAAATTATTCATAATTGGTGGATATGGTGGAGGGCAGATGACATGGAATCTGACCTCTGTTTAAAGTCTGCATAGAGTATTCTGCTGGGGAATCCTTTCCTGCAAATTCTAATTCCTTCCAGCACACCGTTACACCGCAGCTGATGCAGCACCAGCTCATGTTCCATGGCACCTAATAAATGACATAATTAATCGGTACTTCATTGTACTGCACAGGGAAGAACAGATTTATCACATCTTTGAACTTTAACAACTTACCAGGAGTTTTTGTTTCATTAGGAATAAGACATCGCACAAAATGGGGATGCGTGCTTCGCAGATTGCTCATCAGCTTGTTTAAATTTTCCTTAAGAGCAAGAACAAAGACTTGGGTTTAAAAATGTCACTTATACAATCTCAATATTAGGTGGAGTAAAAACACAGCAATAAAACCATGCTATTTTTTTTTTTTTTTTAATTTTATGGGCAGTTCTGAAAGAATACTTCCAAGAATTCAATGAGAATCCTTCTTTACTAAGAAGCATATGCCTTTATCCTTTCTGAACATAGAGATTTTGTATATTAGAATCATAGAATCAGATCAATCTAGAGCTTTTGTGATCTGAATTTTAAATATTTTTTTACAGTGCAATAAAATTTATAATGATTATTCTCCAATACCCGGAAAAGAGCCGAGACAGTCTGGAAAGACGAACCCTTCTTCTTGCCGCCCTTCTTGCCACCACCACCACTCTCTAAACAATAAGATTTAAAAAAAAATGAATAAAGAAAGCATGCAGTTAGAATATGAAGAACTTTCTGTGTTCATCTTAAAAAAATAGAATTTTAATAATATGTTCAAAATTTGCAAATGCATGTAGTGTTTAAAGTTACAATAGATTATTTTTTCAGATGATAGCAGAATGAAATCTAATGACTTCAAGTTGAAGTTAAGAAAACAGAAACAGGAAATAAAATGTAACATTTCTCATAGTAAGAAGTTTAAGTTATTAAATAAATAGCTAGTGAATACACCAAATGCAGTCTTTATGTATCTTTAAGGCTATGCATAAATTTAGCAGCATGTTGATATATTCCATTGTATTCCCTGAAGTATTTGCGTATGCTCCATATTGCAGAAATCTGTTTTGTTAGCCACTCTGTATAAATGTTTTAGGTATAGCTCTCTAGTGTTAAAACCTACAGATCTCTTAGGGAAATGTAATATCCTTTATTAGTCTGAGTAACTGAGTTTCAAAAAGTAGATGAGGTTTGGGGTTTTCAATTTTTAAAAAGTAAATATTATTGCAAAATACTATTGCCATTTTTTTCCCTGTAAATTACAGTGGAACTGATTTCAAAGAAATCACCTGCTTCTGCTCCACCAACAGAGGCAAAGAGTAAGGCCAGTGTCTTCAAGGATGATTTCTGGTACAGCCCCACAACAGTTTCATTCAGGGGGTCTTTGTTCTTCTCAAGCCAGCCAGAGATGTTGTAGTCCACTGTGCCAGCGTAGTGCACCAGGGAGAAGTGGGCCTCAGCCTTCCCTTTAGTAGGTTTGGGCTTCTGGAAGTTGCTGGACTTGCCCAGATGCTGGTCATAGAGCTTGTTCTTGAAAGAGGTGTCAGTTGCCTTGGGGAACATGCACTCCTCTTCCAGGATGGAGAAGATGCCCATGGGCTGGAAGAAATAGCAACATGTGAAGAAAGAAAGTGTGGAAGCAAGAAGCAGACAGAATTTATATGAGAGAGAGGGATGGAAGATAAAAATCATACAAACCCCCCCTCCTCAGAATTGGTGATCTTGTTTTTTTCCAGAAAGGGCATTTTGTTAGTGGATATGCCATCAGTTATATGAAAACAAGCTCACTGATAAGTTTCAGGGTTGTGTTGTAATTAAGTATAAAAATTCACTATGTGCATGTTAGTTGAAGATGGAACGCAAAAGGAATGAAATTAGTAGCATTCAGTTGTAAGGAAGAATTTACACTTCCTAAATGCTTTTTCTTCGAAACAAGATAGAAAATTTCATTACACATATTAAAATAGAAGTTGTTCAGTGTATTTAGTTACTCAGTATGCATTAGAAAAATACACTAATTTGAGTATGAACTCCAGAATAGTGACTAGGACTGAAATTTTTGCCCCATGTAAATCATATATACTATGTGACAGAATCCCACAGGCAGTGAAGTAACAGAAAAATATGAAATGCTTGGACCCCAGAAAAAAATCACATTATGTGCTGTATTAAGTGTGAGTGCCACACATTAGCGTGGTCTAATTTGAGCATAGAGGATTCCTTTTACATTTTACATCCAGAAAACTATTAAGAACCTTCTCAATAAGCTCAATGCAGGCAGCCAGGTCCATCCCAAAGTCAATGAATGTCCATTCAATTCCTTCCTTCTTGTACTCCTCCTGCTCAAGCACGAACATGTGGTGGTTGAAGAACTGTTGCAGTTTCTCATTGGTGAAGTTGATGCACAGCTGCTCCAGGCTGTTGAACTGCAGAATGCAATGACATTTAATGTCTTGAGAAGTTCAATTCCAGGAACACTTTCCATCTTCCAATAGGTTTTATTTTCAGCCTACTAAAGTCTCTATGATTGTAATTCTGAATTTCTAGTCATGGGGCTGGACAGGTGACTGGCATATTCCATCCTCTAACATATCTACCCTTTCTGGCCCTGGCACTGTCCAAATCCAGATTTTAATCTGCTTGAATTTGTCTACACTGTCAGTCTATTCCCAAGCATTCAGAGGGAATCTGGCTTCAGCATCAACAAAATCTTCCTTCAAGATGGCATGTTTTAACTTCCTGAAAATTTGTCTCTGCTATTACCTATCAGTTGTTCAACATTTTCCTATCAGTTTTGAATGCAATTTTCACTTCTGCAAGCAAAACAGACATCTATAAAAACATGCAGCCCTTGCGGGGTAATACATACTATGAGAACCAGAATGTCAGGATTATCCAATAAATAAAAACAATCCATAATTTAAAAAAAACCAACCCCAAAACCAAACAAAAGCCCACAAACTAGTCCAGTTTCTTAATGCCCCTTCCAGGAAACTTATATGAAGAACCTCCTCTTACATCAAAGATCTCGAAGCCAGCAATGTCAAGGACACCAATGAAGTACTGTCTAGGTTGCTTGGTAACCAGCTGTTGGTTGATGCGAACAACCATCCACAAGAACATCTTCTCAAAGACAGCCTTTGCCAGAGCACCCACTGAATTGTACACCTAAACAAAAGCAGAAGAAATGTTACCATCCAGAGCAAAAGAGGAAATTCAAAGTTTTAAATTCATGTCATTTGTTTTCTCTCATCACTTGTTTCTTACCTGCTGCACGGTTTGACCCTTGGTCACATATTCATTCCCAACCTTGACTCGAGGGTAGCAGAGGGCTTTGAGCAGATCTGCTGAGTTCAGACCCATCAGGTAGGCAGCTTTATCAGCAACTAAGGAAGCAAGCATACAGCAGGATTGGATATTAGTTCTCCTGTAGATGTATTTTGTAGTAATTCAAAATTGTTTCTGCAGAAGCCACATATACTTTAAATCAAGTAATTTAAAACATAGCAATCTTTCTTGATTTACTATTTTTTCCCATTTAATTTAGATTATTTGTAAATGTAAAGATTCTTCCAAATACCTTTACAATGAACATGCGAATTTT